GAGGGCCGCCTGGTCCGGCTGCGGCTGGGCGGCCGCAGGGGCGCGCGCCCGGCCGCCCACGAACTCCGGCGAGGAGATGGCCCAGGAGGCCGCCAGGCACAAGGCCATCGCTGGGGGAGGGGAGGGAAAGGGGAGGGGATAAAGGCGTCGGAGGCGGGCGGGGGGGCGCGGCTGGCCCTGCTCCTTGAGCATGCTCCTGCTTCTGTTCCTCCTCCTCCTCCTGCTCCTGCTCCTGCTCCTGCTCCTGCCTACTCCTCCTCCCTGCTCCCCCCTCCCTCCTCCCTCCTCCTCCGCCTCCCTCCTCCCTCCTCCTCCTCCTCCTCCTCCTCCTCCTCCTCCTCCTCCTCCTCCTTCCTCCTCCTCCTCCTCCTCCTCCTCCTCCTCCTCCTCTTCCTCCTCCTCTTCCTCCGCGCGCGTGCCCGGGGGCCGCGGGCCCCAGATACCGACGCAGAAAACAACGCCATAAACATACACTTTTGGCGCTCCGCGTGGGTTTCTTGGATCCGCGCTGGGGGCCCCACGGGCGGCGCCTCCAGCGCCGCCCCTGGCGCGCTCCGCGCGCCAGGGAGGAGGGTCCAGCGCAGATCCAAGAAATCCGCGCAGAGCACCGAAAGTTCATGTTCATGGTTTTTTCTTTTAAGATGCGCAGAGCCCTTCGGGCAGTGAAAGCATCACGACGGAAGGTTTTTCGCTATTTTCATCCTCTGGGGGCCCTCACCGGCCCTCGGGACCGTCAAAAAACGATTCAGGGGGAGAAACGGGTCCTGGGGAAGGGTCGAGACCTCTGGGAGCCAACGTTATGAACATATCACGACGTCGGGGGCCTAGGTACGGTGAGGGAATTAGGTAAGTCGGGGGCGGCAGAGCGGGGGGATGACTAGGGGGTTGGTGATCATGGCGGGGGCCATGCTGTCTCCCTGTGGCGACGTGTGGCGACCCCGACGCTGTCGTTCAACGTTGAACGCTGCCGGCGACCCAGAGTCGGTCGATGTTGAACGATTTGACGGTTCGGAAAAAGCCGATCGTTCAAGGTTGAACGACCATTGGAAGTGTCAGAAACCAACGCAGATGTCGGCACGACACGAACTTGCCGTAAGGAGCCGCTTCGACGTGACTAGACGCAAGAGCGACCCTTCCCCAAAGTGACTTTCTGGTGTGGGCACCCTTGTGTGAAGCCGACCGGTCGGGGCTCAAGAGACGGTCGAGCAGTGACGAAGCGTCCAGGCTTGCCTACAGGCCCACCACAGAATGTTCTAAGAACCTTTTGTGGTCTGCGCGAAATGTTCTTAGACCACTTTCTTGTTGAGAGTGTCATGTTTGAGCACATCGAGCTTATTTTCGAAGAGCACTTTTTTTTTTTCCCCCTGTTTTTGGGGCATCTCTGGGTGCTAAGAACATGTAGCGGTAGGCCTTCACGAATGCCGGGACGGTCGGTCCCTGCTTAAAGCCGGGGGTCATCGCAAACGTGGGTCAACCAGGGCGCCAGATCTTGTAGGGTCCTGCAGAGCCAGGGGTGCACTGACCAGGGCTTGGGGCGCAGGATCCTGCAGGATCTCGCAGGATCCTGCACGGCCCGACTGACCCGAGTTTGCCTTGGCCCGCGTCGGCGCGTCCCTGAGAGCTCGGCTCGCGTGCCCCAGGGCCGCCGAGGGTCCGAGGCAGGGTGAGGGCATTGGGCAAGAAGCCGTTGGATATCGGGGGGGTCAGGGGCAGATCAGAGCTCCGAAGCATCAGGGCTGGGGGCGGTCAGGGATAGCTGCAGATTCGCGCGCTCCCGGGGGCCCGAACCAGAGTTGCCCCGGACCGCAGTTATCCCTGATCGCCAGTGATAGGTCGGGTTGTCCAATTCTCCCGAATCATCAGGGCTGGGGGCAGTCGGGTAGCTACAGATTCGCGTCTCGGGTGTCCGAACGGGAGCTACCCTAGAAAGCAGTTACCCCAGATAACTCGGGCGTCCAAGAAGAGAGAGCTTCGAGGTTTGGGGACGTTTCCGACGGTTCTCGTCGGCATTCTGGTCTCACGATGCTTGCCAGCGGTTGCGCCTCGTCGTGAGCGGTCCAGGGTTCCTGGATCGCCCCGAACGGCCGCTGGAGAGCCAAGTTATGACCCGAAAGCCACAGGTCTGGAAGCTGGTGGAAGCCCAATCGTCGATAAATTTGGCCATGGATATAACCGCCGCCCTCATCAGATAGTGAACATTGCTGTGCAAACCTGCGTGGGGACGGCGCGGGAGGATCGCGCGATGCAGGAGAATCGCACGGGTTGCGGAGGCATGATGGGGGAAACCGGGTAAGGCGGTGCCTTTGTTTTCGTACTCGCTAGGGGGACGCCCCTGGGCTACAGGCTCGACCACGTCGCTGCTGCTTGCGTTCCCCCGTTCCTTGCGGGCCGTAGAGTGCAACTCGTGGGAAGTTCAATTCAGCATCGGCGCCAGTATATCCGTGGTGGAAGGATCGCCTGAATCTGGCATACGCCAGTTCGATTCCGTTCAAGATCGCCTCCTCCGGTTTACGTAATTCCAGACATGTTTTGTGGGGTTATGGTTTTCTTCCCTGCCGCGTCGCACCCGTGTTCCTTCCCCTCCTCCTCCTCCTCTTCCCCCCACCCTTTTGTTTCTCCGTCTCGCTCGCACTTACACAACCGCCGTGGCAGACGTGGCACTTCTTCGACACCGCAGGGGGTGCGCAAGGCCAAGGCATAGCAGGCGTGGCATATTCTCGACACCATAGGGGGCAGGGGGTGGTCCCTCAGCGCGGCCGCTATCCGTCACAGTCGTCCAGAGCATAGCAGGCGTGGCAGATTCTCGATACCACAGGGGGCCCTCGTGGCGTCCCAGGAACACAGGCGGGTTGGCAGCCCGATCGTCACCACAGCTCGGCCGGGCTGTGGGAGAGACTCTTGCCCTGTGGATGGCCAGCCACAGGAAGTGCGGGCCCACCGTACCACCCTTGAGAGGCCCCTTGGGGTTACTCGAAGGGGTCCCCTGACGTGGGGTCGCGGGAACTTAAGTCCTTGGGCAGCGGGGCCTTCGCTGCTTGAGGCCGGCGGCCAAGTGGGGGTGGTGCTGGTGGCCGTGTCTCGGGGTGGAATTTCGAGGCGCCTCGCAACGGCGGCGCATATGCGACGCCTGGGGCGGGTCTGTGCCGCCGTTCATGTGGCGAGGTCCGACTGCATGTGAATTCATGCAGGCACCTTGGGCGCCTCCCTTTTGGGTTGTGTCGCCCAGGTGTTTTGTCTGGGCACCAACGGTGCGTGTGCAGGGGGTGGTGCCTCAGCGCGGCCGCTATCCGTCACGGTCGTCCAGGGCATGGCAGGCGTGGCAAATTCTCGACACCATAGGGGGTGCGCAGGGGGTGGTCCGCTATCCGTCACGGTCGTCCAGAGCATAGCAGTGCTCCATTGGAGAGGCCTGACGGCCGGTGCCGCCGACCCTGATCGAAAGGGCTAGGAGGGGGGGAGGAAGCGGAGGAGGAGGAGGAGGAGGAGGAGGAGGAGGAGGAGGAGGAGGAGGAGGAGGAGGAGGAGGAGGAGGAGGAGGAGGAAATGCATCCTTTGTGTGCCCGCTCGAAGAAAGTGCGCCCCGGGAGTGTGATATTCTGACTTGGGACGTGCTCCCGGAAGAGGAAGAAGTGCATCTCGGGCGTGCCCGCTCGAGGAAAATGCGCCCTAGGGGGGTGGTATTTTGACTCGGGGCCCGCTCCCGGGACGCCTCTGCGGGAGGAGGAGGAGGAGGAGGAGGAGGAGGAGGAGGAGGAGGAGGAGGAGGAGGAGAGGAGCAGGAGGAGGAGGAGGAGGAGGAGGAGGAGGAGGAGGAGGAAAAGAGGAGGAGGAGGAGGAGGAGGAGGAGGACCAGGAGGAGGAGGAAGTGCATCCCGTGCGTGCCCGCTCGAGGAAAGTGCGCCCCGGCGGGCGTCGTATTTGCCCCGGGACCCCCCCCCCTTCCCCCCCCCCTGCGGGGAAGGGATCAAAGGGAAGGGGCTTCCCTTCGACTCCGCTACGACGTCGTTTAATTTCGCTTTGGATAGCGCGCTTGAGGAGGAGAGCCCTGGGAGGGGGAGAACGGAGACGACGGAGACGACGAGTCGAACGGAGAAGCCCCTCACACACGCCGACAGGGTCGGCGGATTCGTCTGTTCTCTATATCATACGGGGTGTGCAGGGGATGGTCCCTCAGCGTGGTCGCGATCCGTCACAGTCGTCCAGGGCATGGCAGGCGTGGCAAATTCTCGACACCATAGGGGGTGCGCAGGGAGTGGTCCCTCAGCGCGGTCGCTATCCTAGGGCATAGCAGGCGTGGCAGATTCTCGACGCCATAAGGGGGTGTGCGGTCGTCCAGGTCATGGCAGGCGTGGCAGATTCTCGACACCATACGGGGTGCGCAGGGAGTGGCCCCCCAGCGCGGCCGCTATCCTAGGGCATAGCAGGCGTGGCAGATTCTCGACGCCATAAGGGGGTGTGCGGTCGTCCAGGTCATGGCAGGCGTGGCAGATTTTCGACACCATAGGGGGTGCGCAGGGGGTAGTCCTTCAGCGCAGAGCATAGCAGTCGTGGCAGATTCTCGACACCATAGGGGGTGCGCAGCTCAGCGCGGCTGCTATCCGTCACGGTCGCCAAGGGCATAGCACGCGTAACATTTCTTCGGCACCGTAGGAGTTGTGCAAAATGTGGCCCTTTCGTCGTTATAGTCGTCTCTGTTGGCACGGCTGTCCGGCCCCCAATGCTTGAACCGCGCCGCCTTTGATGTCGGCGAAGCAGCGGCCACGAGCAACATGCTCGCAAGTTCCACGTCAGCTACCATCACGCAAGACACGCGAGAAGTATGTGGGGTTCCTGAGTAGCGTAATTTTGTTTTCCTCATCTGGCTTAAAGAAGTGGGCTTTGTGGCCATTTAGGAGATCATCGCAGGCTCTCCGAGGCGCTCTTGGAGCCATCTTGGGCGAGAAAGGACCCTCTGACACCTCGCGGCCCGCCCCGTCCATGTCCATGGGAGGGGGTAAAAGGAGGATCACCCCCCCCCCCGAACGGGAAAAAGGGGGTTGGAAGAGGAACTTCCCTAGGTCACCTACGCCCAGAGGGCTGGTGGAATTTGGTTCTGTGGCCTCTCAATCGCGCTTAATCGTGTCGAATCGTTCTCACGGAGACCTCCCCAAAGTTGCCTCCGAACAGGCAGTGGCTGCCACTCGTGTGGCACCTCCCGCTCGCCTCCGTCGTCGACATGTTCGTGCTCGCGGCGTTCTCGCCGGGCGTCACGCTCTATATCTGGGACCAGAAGACGGTGGCTCTGTGGGAAGGACATGCCGCTTTTAGGGGAACGAAGAATGACATGAACACAAACATTCTGAGGTCCGCGCGGATTTCTCGGACCCGCGCTGGACACCCCTCCCTAGCGCGCGGACCGCGCCACGGGCGGCGCTGGAGGCGCCGCCATGGGGGTCAGCGCGGATCCGAGAAACCCGCGCGGACCTCCGAGTTTTTATGTCTATGTCATTCTTCGCTCCCCTGGCATTGCCGTCTGCCCTCCGCCCTGCCTCATTTCCACACCCAACTTCGGCCGTGCGTTTCGTAGTGGTGGCAATGATCCAGGCCTCCCGGATCGGGTCCGAACATGTGGGGTCGGAGGATCGCGCCGCATCGCCGATGCATCAGCGATGCTGTTCGATTTGGATCCCGGTTTTCCCAGCCGCCGACGTCGCGGATGCATCGGCGATTCATCGGCGATGGGGCGCGATCTTCCGACTCCATCTGTTCCGACTTAGCCGAGAGGCCGATCATGATATATTGAGGGCATCGAGGGTTCCAGCAAGGGGGCCCTGGACGGGCCCCCGTGGGGCCTCGAGTGCGCATGAAGAGTGCGCCTTTCTTCCCGCCCCCCCGCGTTTTGCCCCCCATTTAGCAGCGCCCGATCATTGCGCGATTCACCCTTTTTGATAGCGGCATCTCGATCGAGTCACCGCAAGCGGTCGTTTTGGTTCGTGTGCTCAGGCAGGTCCCAAGACTTCCCAAGGTACAGGTTCCTGCTGCGCATGGAGGCTTGCCAGCTTGCGACGCATGTTCCATCGACGTCTTGCGAGCTGAGTGTGTTTGTGTTTCTTTTCGCCCCCCCCCCCCCACACTCTCTCTCTCTCTCTCTCTCTTGCTTCTTCCGACGCGCGGCTGACTCCAAACCGCGGAAGGAAGGCAACGGCCCGCTAATGCCTCCAATTGGTTTTCTTGTGAAGATGCGCGGCGATCGAAAGCTAGAGACGCGCGTGGGCGAATCCAATTCCAAGAGCCCAGGCATTGCAGGACTTGGGCAAGCGAAGGTGACACCTCAGATTCACACACGCACACGCGCTTTGCATCTTCGTTGTTGGACAGAGAGTTGGTGGTAGGGCGTCAAGAGGAATCCTGAAGATGATAGGAATGTGTTTGTTTATTCCGATCGATGTCGCTCGCTGTTTCGCTGCGGACGCTTGCGCCATACGCCGAGCGCAGGGCGCGTGCGTCCATGCCCCTCCTAGTCGGCTCCCTCACGAGGGGGAGGGGGGGGACAAGGAGGATGAGGACAAAGAGGACAAGGAGGACGACAATGAGGAAGAGAAGGAGGAGGACAAGGAGGAGGAGAAGGCGGAGGAGGAGGAGGAGCGTATCCTCCTTGCACGAGGGGGATAAGGAGGACAAGGAGGAGCGTATCCTAGTTGTCCTCCGATGGAGGCACTCGCGTGGGAATCGTGCTTGGCCACGGGATGGTTGGTGGAGGACCGGCGCGGGGACGTTGTACATGGGGAACTTCCTTCCGCCGGTCAGGCAGGCATATCAATTCTGGCTCCGTCTTATTCCATCTATGCTTAGGCCCTTGCGATTGAAGAGTGCGCGCTAAGCGTCTCTTGGCTGTGCGCCCGCCTTGCCCATACTCGGAAACAGAGTCGGGTCGGCTATCGTTGACAGCTGTGCGCTTAACGTTTGGAAATTCGAGGGGAGGAGGAACGGGGTAGGGAGGAGGAGGGAGATGAGAGAAGCAGGGGAAAGGAGGAGGAGGAGGAGGAGGGTACTGAGGGTACTGACAGTACGGGCACGCCATGGTGTCCCTCGCCACACGGCGCATTAGAGCTTAATCGGTATCGATAAGTTCGGGTTCCTCCTTCTGAGACCTCTGGCAGGACCTCTCCCACCGCACAAAATCATCAGGCGAGGCGAAACCATGCAACTTGGCTACTGAGACAACCTTTCGTCCCCGAAAGCGAAGGAGGCGAGAACTCCCCCCCGCAACAGATTCTCTGGAATCAGTGCCCATGTGGCTGCCAGCCGAAACCTCTCCCTCCGCAGACTCGCTGTCAGGGCTCCTCGCAGCATCAGCAGCAGCAGCGCCCCCACCAGCGTCCAGTAGAGGACCCAAAGCAGCTTTCATCGCGAGGGTCGGACCAAAGGCAGGGCCCACCCAGGCTTTGCCATGAGCGCGCCCTGGGAACAACGCCCGCTTCAACTTAGACCGCTGGGTCTTGAGGCCAGGATGCTTGGAGCCCTTGCGCGCCTCTCTGAGACCTCGCGCCGACGTGTGCGCAGAGGCCCCACAAATTCTGCAGAACAAAAGGTCCGTGAAGTCCTGGCCTTGGTCGGTGACAGAGGCCTGCACCAGCGAGTGGCCCCTGACAACCCAGGGGATGGTGGTGGTGGGCGCCGACTACATGCCGTCCGTGTGACCGAACAGCAGCAGGCTATAGAAGAGACAGCACGGGCCGATAGGGGAAAACGCCGGGCAACTTTGTCCCAACCCCCTACGAGCACATGCCAGCAAACCGAGCTGGCGGTCAGCCCGGAGAGAATAAATCGCACCCCAATTCAAGGCGCAACGAACATGTCACGAATTTCGGCGCCATGAAAGGAGTGAGACGAGCGTGGGCGGCATATACCCTTTGGATAGGGCCAGCACCACCGCCAAGAACAAGTTAGCCGTCTAAGGCTTCACCCGTCGTGGGGTGGAGGCCACGCTCAGCCTTATTCAGTTTCCTGGTTTGCTTATCCTTGGTGGACGGGACCGCGGAAGGGCCACGACACATCTCCTGGAGGGCACGCGGGACCCCATGGGGCAAGATCAGGAGGCCAGAACATCGCGAACAAATCAGAGGGGTCGAGCAAGCCAGCAGACTCAAGCGCCTGCTCGGCCTCCGCCACAACAGCGGCCCTCAAAGGTCGCGCAGATCCACCGGCCACTCGAAGCCACTCGTGGCCTTTGAATGCCGACAGGGCGGTGGGATTGCAAAATCTGGACGGACCATTACACAGATGCTGCAAAATTGCGCTTGTTCGCGCGCCTGCAAAGCAAGAAATACAGCGCACCTCGTCAGTGCGTTCATTCACATAGAACTTGTGACCATGGAGCGAGAGACGAACGACGGGAGAGACCCTCGGAGCCGAAGGGGGAGGAGGAACATCCGTCCAATTCTTAGTGCGGATCATACGGGCGGCAGCCCATGAAATGTAATCAAGAGTTGCCTTATGATACTGGATATCGCTTTCAATTGCATCCTTAGTTACTGCAGCTGACAACCCAGGGGACACCAGAGGCAGAGACAAAGGAATCATAGGCCTCGCCTGGTTCGGCAGACCCAGTCAGAGTGGGCGGAGGAGGGAGGCTCGGAGCGGGGTGAGGAAACTCGACCCCCACAGACAAGGACCAATCCCCGAAAGGCGCCACGCCTTCATCCAAACAGGCCCGAATCAAACCAGGGGGTATATCAGCATCACAAACTATGCCCGCAATACCTACAAGATCCTGAGAGTCTGGCTGATCCAGCTCCCCAACAACTTCTTGGCATCTGGGTTGCCACTTTACAATGTCCGAGGCTATCCTCTCACATCCAGAGTCTAGGTGACCTTGCGAAACTATCCAGAGGCGTGCTCCTCTCGTTGCCCGCTTATCTGCGAGAGTGTTACCTTTAATCACTCTTTCCTCATGATCCGAGGTGGCGGCGCCGAGGCCCATGTGAGTCTCAAGTTTACAAACAGAGGCCAGTCTGCCGATGCATCTCCACCAATGACCCCACATGTGACGACGAGGGTTGGAGGCCGAGAGGGCAATGCTAGCAAAACCCAGCGCGCCTGAACAAACTGTGCGGACTCCCAGCAGGTGGTCTGCTGACCATTCGCTGAATTGAGCGAGCACTCTGGACTCCCGGCCCCCCCCGCCCCGAACCGCCTGTCCGGGAGCCGCGTGGGCGGCGCGGCGCCGCACATGGCGCCGATCAGGTTGCCAGCTGGGCCGATCTGAGCAACCGACCACCCTGCGCGAAGGAAACCCTGAAGGCGGGAATGGAAAGCCGAGCCGCCCACGAAGACAGCGCCTGAAAACTTCCACCCAGGGGAGACACCGACGCACCTGAGCTGACCCTCCTGGGGAACCTCTCTGCAAGGGAAGCAGGGAGACGGGGAGGGACAGAGGCATCTGGCCATGGAGCTCACCAGTATGATCACCTTATCTGCTTTGCATATTGAGCGGCCTGCGCGACATGCTGCGGGCACCCCTCACGCCTGACCTGGAGACACCTGGGGCAGTCATAAAAGCTGTGCCACAAGGTGCCTCTCGTGCCACAGTGGGCGCAGGCATCAAACTGAGCTTTACCCTTGGGGCGTAGCCGAACTTGAGGCCAATGGGGTCCACCGACCAGGCTCCGAATGGCAGCGGCACGGCGCTGCAGCCAGTTGTCACCAAAGTCCGCATTGATGAGACGAGTGAGGGGGGAGTGTGGGGGGGGGGGGGGGGGGGGCATTAAGAGGGGGCCCAGAGCGTTTGGAGTCTCTACGTCGCCACGATGTCAGCAGCCAGAAGCGCCAGAGGCCTGACAAGACCAACCAATAATGCAGGAGAGCAGTCAGCATTTTTGAACTCCCCAAGTCTAGGATGCGAGGGCACATTGGCAGAGGGCGAGGTGCAGCCAGTCCTAGCGAGAGAAAGCACAGCGGCCTGAGACGGGTCGCCCACTTGAGACCAAGGCCGCTTTTTTCCCAGTAGGCAATGCGCTTCCTGCAGGCAAGCCTGCGGCGGACCAAGTCCTGGCAAGACAGACTGCGCACTCAATGCCCAGTGCTTGATCGCGTCACAGACCGCAATACACCAGGGATCTCGGGTGGCACCACTGGGGGTGACACGCAACCTGAGAGAAACCGAGGTGCCTCATGATCGTGCTGACGCTTGCCCCTCATGAACATGCAACCCCACGCCGCCGTCGCCGTAGGGGGGCCCCTCACGTTCGTGCTGACGCTTGCCCCCGCTTCTTCCCTCAGGGCACTAACTCGCAAACATGCAGAGTCAGCTTTGGC